CATAGGGAAAATAACCTACCAGGAAGGTCTTTCAGGGCGTGACAAGCTTTTTGAAAACGGTCTTTTGCATGATATAGGGGCAGATGCGGGAACCACAGAACCATGTTCAATTTTTCCTGAACGGCCCTCTGAATACCAGAAAAGGAGGTCCCTAGTTCGATTCCTCGTGGTAACAAATTTTTGCATTTCGAGTTGACGTGCCAAAATTCGCGCAAAAATGGAGTTAGAACCAACCCAGAACATTAGAACTCCATTTTGCGCGAATTTTGGAACGTCAACTCGAAATGCAAAAATTTGTCACCACGAGGAATCGAACTAGGGACCCCTTTTCTGGTATTCAGAGGGCCGTTCAGGAAAAATTAACACATGGTTCTGTGGTTCCCGCATCTGCCCCTATATCATGCAAAAGACCGTTTTCAAAAAGCTTGTCACGCCCTGAAAGACCTTCCTGGTTAGTCTGGCTCCATGCACGAACCTCTTAACTATTCGAAACCGTCCCTGAAAGGCGGGGCATGACCGAAAAACATTCTTAGTCAGACCCGAAGATAACTCCTAACAACCCAATACATGTGCAGCCAACGCACAAAAGTATATACAAAATATTTTGACTCTGCGTCAATAAAAAGTGTACCAAATTAGCTATTCAAGAGCACTCAAGATGTTCCTTTGAGGATAAAAACGCTAGCCAGCAAATACTCAACTAAACGGCGCAAACAAAAGTTATACGATACAACAATTAAAAAACAAAACAGAAACAATAATTCTTTCCAAGAATTTTCATAACAAAAACAACATAATTCCATAAGATATCTACATGATAAAAAATTTAACGACAACCAGTCATTATAATTAACAACCGAAAAACGGAACTCGATACATCTGAACGTTTTTAACGATCTAATGAAAAAATTACTAAATCTCTTTCAATTCGGCGATCATCGACTTTTACCTCATCAAAAATTCACCAAAAGTACGTGTTTCAGCATAAGGATTTGTTGAGCAAGCATCAAAAAGAACCTCAGCAGACTCGTTCAGCACCTCAACCGAATAATTTCAACCTCATTTGACACATTTGTCAAGAACAGAAAGGTTGAAAATCAGTTTGTCATTGTTACTTAAATAGTAATTTTTGAAAGCGTTAAGTCGCCTTCTGTAATCGAAACGTTTTGCAGAGATAAACTCCTCATTTGAGACAGTTGCCTTGTTTTAGAATGGTGGTACTGAACCAATGATCACGATGGCTTAAAAGCGGTACGGTTTTGATGACATCATCGAACGTCATTGACGGGCTAGACTCCCCAGACGGTGGAGGGAGCGGGGAGGGGTGGGGGCAATGTTGCTGGGCGTCACCTCAATGCTCTTGCCTAACAATGTGAGCGGGTTCGCGCTTCGACCTCTGACAACGAGAGCTCTACAAGAAAGTATTCTAATTGCAACAGTTCTCCAGAACTGATGGTAAACGTGAAATATTAGTAAATAAGTTGGGCTAATCCAAATCAAGACTCTCGTGATGGTGCGACAGTAAATAAAAGCCGCCACACGGTCACCGATTCAGTATGATTTGGAGGATTTTAACTTAATTTATTTACAAGGTCAATCTTGTGAAAAAGAATTGAAGCTGAAAAAATTGATTCTTGCATATTTCTGTTTCGTCACTTCTTGGGAACCAAAATCATACAATTTTTGAAATTATAATTTAAATTATACTTAGGTGGGAAAGAAAGTTCTGAGCCGATTTTTTGAAAGCTCCAGAACTTTCGCTTATTGGTCGATACCTAGAATCTGCTACGTGATAGACTATCGTTGTCGATCATACTTCTCCGCAATAGGTATATATTGCCGGGTTGCCTTCTTTAACTTTAATAATGATGGTGATTCCACAAGAACACTTTCGAGCGATCATCTTCAATGAATCGCGCTGCGGCACAGGAGCAGTGGGAACCGTCAACATTATCAGCATCGCATTGGGAAGGGTCACCACTTCCATCATCAGTGCCAAGCTCTGGTTCGCAGGCTTCGAGGGAGGAGACACGGCTTTCAAAGAAAAGACAAGGTTGGGAAGCCCACAAAAGGTAGAAGACTCCACCGTTCTCGGCGCTGTCGAAGAGGATCCGGACGTTAGCACCCGCAGCCTTGTGATAAGACTCGGGTGCACCCATCCCACAGTCCTCGGTCCCCTTCACGACCTCGCCACAGGAAAGTGGTGACTCAATGGATTCCTCATGTCTTGACCGATAGCACGCGGTTCAGGCGGGTACCCATTTGTCAGTTTCTCCTTCTTTGCCCGCACCGAAAGGGGTTTTTGAAGGCGTGATTACGAGAGATGAGAGTGGGGTCCTATACGATTCTAACAAGCACGGTGCCGTGTGGCTCCCTCGAAGAGAGGGCCTGCCGACACAAGCAAAATCGGACCTTCACCCCAAAAGCTGTCTCCTTTGCTACCTCTGGGATTCGTGAGGAATGCTGTACTATGATATGCTCCCGTAAAGACATACCGCTACCGGCAGCATTTACGCCAGTCTGCTCTAGAAACTAGCGGACGCTGTTCAAGAAAAACGACCGAGACGAACTTCTGTCCACCTACTCCACGATGACGCCAGGCCCCACAAAGTTAAAGAGACCCGTGCAGAATTGGAAGAGCTGATCTGGGACGCGGTTCCCCATCAACCCTATTCCCCTTACATTGCCTTCTCTGATTATCACTTACTCTATCCCCTTAAGGGATCCCTAGCGAAGAAAGAATTCACCAAAGGTAAAGAAGTTGGAAGAGCGGTCAGCGATTTCTTTGACTCTCAGTCTGCTCTGTTCTGGGAGAAGGAAGTCGCTGAACTGCACATTAGGTGGGACTCTGTAGTGGGTAGCAATGGTGATTATATTGTTGGGTAGATTCCATTCTACGTGGAATAAAAAAGCAAAGAACAAAAAAGTGTCAAACGGCTCAGGACTTTTTTACCACCCTAATATAATCAAAAACACTAAATGACCCCACCTACTCAATCTTGAAGTGTGCCTTTAATCGATTGCTGAATAAATGCTATAATTATTCAGTTCTCTAGCTCAGGGCGGAATGAATAATGCAGAGGCGTCACATAAGACGTCCGCGTTCAGGAGATCAAATAGCTGGTCCTTTTCTTCCAGATACCAAGCTCTCGATTCCTTTGGGGTTGCTTGAATGTTGTCATACTCCTATGGGAGGAAAAATGTCTACCTGTACATCGGCTGTGCCCCGCAAGTCATCGTATAGACCAGATTGCATGCAAAGTGCCCCACGAGTCGGAACGGAAGCCGAATGTATGGCGTATCTCACGAAAAGATTGGTCAATAACGAGTTTTTACTACTCGGTTTTTTAAACTGGTCCAGTTTCAATTCCTATTACCCAATGCCTACGGTAACTTAAGCATAGAACCGAGAAAAAAATACTTACATTGTTGCCGTTCTGTGACCCCGAGGGATCATTCTTAGCATAACGCTCATTCTCGATAATTAAGCGATAGCACACACCAGGATTGAGCACTATGTTGGTCTTCAATATATGTCTCGATAATAACGATGAAGCCTGAAATTAACATATGCCTCGATGACAGCAAGACTCGAAATGAACACATGTATTACGCTCCGAAGCAAAGAAATCGGAACTAAAGAAAGGCAATATAAGCCACAAAGCATTCATTAGCATAATCTAAATTCAATAAATTCAATAAATTTTTTACAATTGAATAATCCACTCATAGCAATTAGGGTCACAAAGTCCCAAAAACCACGCTTATTGCCATGGTGAAGCACAAAAATACCCCTATACATTTCAAAAGCTCGACGAATTTGACTTACCTCTTCTCGTATGTGCAGAGCATCATCTTGAAGGAAAGAAGCCAAAACAGCAGTCAGTTGTTCATCGCTTCCTGTAAGTGTATTGAAATTAGGTGCCATCGCAGGGTACGGGGGCACCCTCTAGGACTAGTAACCTAAGGAAAAGGCTCAGAACAGTCTGGAAAAAAATGACAATCGCTCACGCCTCTTGTTAGCCTCCTCCCCGCGCCTATCGGGAAATATCCCGTTTTAAACAAAAAGAAGTGAAAGGGAAGTGTTTTCAAGGAATTTCAATGCATTACTGCCACACAGTGCCGCCGCAAAATGCGATAGCATAACCTACAACTTTCGTGCAAAGGCGCATTCGGCTGTTTAATCAAGCAACACACCTCAGAAGGGTCGCGTAAAGCAATCTATTCCGGGTATCAATCAGCAGCTCGGCGAAGTCATTATCACAGCTGCGTCCATTTTTCGCTACAGAAAAGGGTGCCACAACGGTGCCTACGAGGCTTCATAATAAGCTAATGACGGCTAATCGTGAGCTGATGACGAAGATACCTCATCCGCGACTGACCCCATGACACCTCAACTGAAATTACCGACGTAAGTGGACGTAACGTCGAAATACGTGCGGGAGAGTGGAACAAACGGAGCAAGCCAGACCCAACACACTGTCTCGGACACTGACCTCCCTCTTTTTAGGGGTGCGGAGAATGGAAAGGAGCTTGTTTTGAGAAACTTCATTCAGCTATTTTCGTCTTTTTTATCTTTCTTCAATCAATATCGGCATCCAATGCATTAAGCCTGGAGATTCGCTTTTTACCCCACACATTTGATCTGGGTGTTGGCTTGAAATTTCCTGTGCGTACAAGTGAGTTGCAACCACCAGACCTTTCGACTTCACTAAACATTCTTAAGCGTCATCTTTTCAGTTTGAAAGTAAAACGGTAACTTTGGTCGTAAACATAATCCCTTTGGAAAGGCCACGACTTCGTATAGCATACATTATACGAAGTTATACGAAGATCCAATTTACTCACCACGCTTCAGATAGTAGGCTCCTACTTCCAAAGCAGCGATTCGTTTCGGCAGCTCCTCCTCAGCGTTAACACACGACTTGATCCACTCCATTTCATCTGTTGTAACCGCTCGTTCCTCAGAAACGAATGCAAGAAGACGGTAAGCTGCTGCTATTGTATCAGGCCTAGATCACATGCTGCTTTGAAATGAAAGTGAAAGCAGTCGATAGAATTGGTAAAAACAAGTCCTAGCGACTCAATCACAAAGCTTAAAGAGGCCTAAAAATATAGTGTCAGAACAACTAAAAGGAAAATATTCGGGAACATTGCGCGTCAGTGCTTGCTGTGAAATCCAACACGTAAGAACCAAATTGCGCATTCAACGTCTTCTTGGAATCATAGGAAATTCCGAATTAACGTATAACTACATTCGAGTAACTGCAATTGACAAGGCATACTTCAACACAAACAATACGAAATAAAAAAATAAAAAGATCGTGAAGGCATGGATGAGGACATCTGCAGACAAGCTGCTACAATAAATCCAGAATATTCAGTTTTCAACAACAGTATCGGTGGCATTGCATCGCTATTGGGCAACTCAACGGTGATCCAAAATAATTAGTAGAAAGCCAGTAACTGTCCATTACTAACCAACCTAGGTGTTGGCCCCGCGCCAAGGCCATCCTTGCTAGCCCTTTCATCCACTTCTTCACGTTATTTCAACTTCTGCTCAAGGTTGTTTCACTAACGTTACTACTAACTTGCTGTTTTTCAAGGGCAAATGCCTTGCCTCGGTGTCCCCACGCTGCCCATGACAACCTTCATCTCTTCTCCTGCTGACTGCTAATATTTTTTCAGCTTTTTTCAAGAAACTGTCTCAAAACAATTACAAGACTTCTGTCAGCCAAAGGGTGAGAGGGTTAGAAAAGGGGTGGAAAAGCATACGCTTTGGTAGTATTAAGACTAAGCTTTTTACAGGGAATAAAGCAAGCGGAGATGCTGTATTGGTGTGCAGTGGCGATAGCTCCCAAACAACACTACGAAACATTGCATTGCCTAGCCTCACGGCTGATAGAATTCTGAGAAGTCTCAAAATCGTATAGCGATTTGCTTACTTCAGCTGCTCCCATCTTGGCACCCTCCACCATTATTGTTTTTATTATCTTTAAGTCATTCTTTCGGTGATCATAAACTTCAAAATGCTTTGATAAAATTTTTCTCCAAATCATTAGTGCGTACATGATGTGATGAGTATCACATCACCAGTAAATATGAATAAGTTCGACCGCTTCAACGGGAGAATCAGCAGCTTCTTCGATAATTTGGATCCGAAGTTGAAGCGCAGATCAATAGAAAATCTTCACTACAAATAGGATTCGGAGCAATCTTACAATCATGCGATATCGCGTTCAATCTCTGGCACAACCCCGCTTCAAGTCTTCACTGCCAAAATTGGCGCACGCGGTCGGAAGAACCTGAAAAAAAAACAGGAAATGTAAATATCAATACGTTGACCCCGGTAAAAGTAATTACTAAAAAAATCAAACTTGGCGTGTGCTATGGAAGCGCATCAATTTTGTTCAAGTTACAAGTCGCAGAAGTTTTATGTTTGGGGCAGAGGCTGCCTTGCGAAAACTTCTCAATGACTTTTTCACCTTAGCCTTGGCACGATGAACTATTATATTATGCACCACGGATGCAACTCATGGTGAAGTAAGTAGACCGAGGTTGATCGCGACCTCCAAAATTTTTCCAATTTTATGAAGTTGAATGCTTCTTATGCTGCACAAACACGAACAAAGTGACATTATTCTCGACGAAATACCCGCCATCTAGAGCGGTATGAAGGGCCCTAAAACTACAGTGCAAAATTAGCCATCACCGTGGAAAAAGCTGTGGACCATTTCGTCACCAGTGTTTCGAAATTCGCGGAAGCGTTCAGGAAAAATGGATCACGGTTCAGTGTTCCTCTCATGAGCCCCTACAACATGCGAAAAACCATTTCGAAAAATTCTGCCGTGCTAATTTTGTCATTGTCATTTTGCACTGTAGCTCTGTCCTGAGAGACCTCCATTGGTACTACTGGTCAGTTTTGAGGCACACCCTACACTGCCTTGCATTCAAAAACCTGGTCTTTGAATTCGTACAAGAACACATACAGGGACATGGAGGCGTGCTAATGGACTAGCCATAAGCCCTTTCAGGAAGGACAGGTGTGAACATGGTATATACTACCTAACATTCGAATATCGGACCTTGCGAGCGGTAGGAGCCTTGCCAACGCCACATCGAAGTTTGTGTGTGTTAATCAGAGTGATATGAATTCAAAAACCTAATTTGTCTCAGCGTCTTACTCGATTCAAACGCTCACATGATTCAGGAAAATCTCATCTTAAACGTTGACGAACACCTTAAACAAATCCAAGTTCATGAAATAAAATGTGACAGACCTCATTAGGACTTCGAGCTATCTGCAGATGGCGGTAGATTTCCAGTCGCAGACCCAAATCTGCCGACAGACGTTCACAAAATCTGCCACTTTTCACAATTGCATGTGCCAGCGGACGCTGCAATTGGCGAAAAGGAATTCAAATTTCCGAATGATAGGAGAAAATGTTGAGAATAGAAATACACAGATGAGTTATGGAGATTCTCACCTTTGACAGAACCAAATGCTCATGATCCAGAGTGATATCGTATGCCACACCCATTTCATTGCACAGCAGTAGAAATAAATTTTTGTTCATGTCACACCTTAACAAGCAAACAAATGATACAATGCTCACAAGATTACAGTCCATATCTCGCCACCTGAGAACCAGTGCCTACGGGCCTAACTTGATGGTCGTCGCCCTTGATGAAATTGCATGTAGAAGTGTTTCCAGCACGCTTCACTGATTTCCAGCGAATTATGCTGGAAACAGGTTACCCACACGAACTCCGTCAAGTGGGACAGTCGCTCCGCCAAATCCGTAGGCAGCCTCAGAAGGCGAGATAAAGACTATAACTTCAGAGAATTGGCAAGAAAATATCCAGCAATGTAGAAGAAATAAAGTGAATCGCACTGACCATTTCAACCAAATGGTCGAGTGATTCAGCCTCGCCAAAATCGACCGAACACGTTCTAATACTTCGTTGCGCTTATCAGTTTCCAAAATAGACGTCACCTTTAACAGAAAGGTAATGCATTGGAAATTTAAGACGAATTAAGAAAATTATTACCAACAACAAAATCGCGTTTATGTGATTCTGGCGCACATTTGAAAGATCAGCCTTGTCAATCCAATCAAGTAAAAATAATATATCCTATAATATGAACTGATATTGATAACTTGAAGAAACCTCACTTATATTTTCGAAAGCTATCGCTTTACTAGAGTTACTCTCATAATTTTTTGTAATTTTTCGGATTCCGTTCCACGTATAACGACGTGAAACCTGAGATCAACCTAAATCTACTTTTGGAATATTACGAGACTTGTTTTATATCACAATTTTTACATCTACCAGATTTGGACGGAAGAGGCAAATTCATCAAAACACAATCACCGGTAGAAGTGAAAATCTAGCCGCCGACTTCTGTAACCCTTGTCAGCTACCTTTCGACGGCTGTGTGAAAAAGGCATGTTCTCAACTGACTACGGTCTAAAAAGCCTCTTTTCCGCTAACCCCCCCCCCCCTTCTGTTATTATTTCTTCTCTTACTGCAAGCATCATTTAACCTAATGTTGAGGTTTGTCAGTTTACCTTTGGAGTAGCAATAGCGGTCAAGGCAGCAACAGTGAGTTTTCGTAATTTTTCGGCTCGACACCTAAAAAATGCATTTCAGAACTTCAGCAAGCGAGTTTCGTTATAAAACTCTCGTAAAAATAGTTCAACTCACCAAAGAAGCACTCGTAGAAGAGCAATTATAAAAGGCGCCAATGGGAAATCTAACGCTGGTTTGTCCGCATTTGCTTCAACCAACGCCGTAACACCCACATTTGATGGGAAAAGATGAGTGAGAAATATTAAAATAGGATAAACGCTGAATTCATCCTTGGAAGCACACAGCTGTTCATAAAGATAGCTGTACAACGAAGGGAACCTGCAAGTCATATATCATGATAAGAGAAATGAACTTTGAACTGCTTAGTTACCTTGAGAAAAACTCGTACGAACTCTGACGATTTTTTGCGTCTACATGAAGATCTCGTTGACTCTTATGAGCAACACCAAAGATCCGAGCCCTAAGGGCAGCCGCTAATTGGGCTGC